TGCATCTATTGGCTGTATGGGATCAGCATGTAGTAATGAGGGCACAGAGGACCTGGCGTCTTCCTATAGGCCCCCAAAGGCCCAAAAAACAGTTCACCTATTATCATAATTTGCAATTAATCTATTGGTTGGACAGGATCAGCATGTAGGATTGAGGGATTCAGGCACAGCACATGCTCTTTTGGAGATGGATGCTTCCCATTGGCAAACTCTGGAGTGAGGCTCTTTTGAGGCTCTCATGGCCTTCAGGAGAAAAGTGGATGAAAAAAAGAAGAATACTGTATCTTTCCATCATAGGTTCACTTTAACCAAATTAAAGGTTCAATCTCTGATTACAATGGGTAATTACACTTTTCAAATCAAAAAGTTATTTGCATCACCACTGCTAAACCGCAAGGATGACTCCAAAGAGCCGCCAACTACTCAACTCATGGTTAGGGCCAATGAAAAACCTTTCTATTGCTTAAAGCAGCACGCCAATGAGTGTTAAAGAAAGAGTCATGAAGTCGCATTCCAAATTTTCTACTCCCGATACCTACTGTGTATTTACAACTCTCATGGACACGATCAAAAATATAAATAAACTAAAAGGCCTGTTACGGCGAGGCTGAACCAAGTAACAGCCATCGAGAATTTCACACAAAATTTCCATGGCATGCTCAAAGTAGCATATAAACTCCAGGAAAAAGGTGTCATAACCCATAAAGCAAATCTAACTCGAATAACCTTTTTTCATATGTGTAGATTAAATTTTTGCCAGCGGAAGGTCTTTGATCCCCTTTACAGGCCTCATCACGATGACAGCATTCTGCAAAGATGAGATCAAAGGTTAGAAATGTGGAGAGATAGACCACATACATCACGTCCGTAGGCTCCAGGAGGGATTATTTTGCAGCTTCTGAAATACACAGCCCAAGAATAATCACAAGCATTCTCTGAACGTCAAAAGAATACATGCCTGCATAAAATGGAGGTCTTATTTGAAAGTCTTGCTCTGGTGATCTTTATGTGTTTCCTAAGTTTTCCCAAAGGAAATTCTTCATAATCCATGAACGGCCCAGCAGGTGACGGGGATCAAAACTCATCGAGCGTATAAAATAAAGCACGGATTGAACGTCAGGGTATGGGAAATAATTCACAAGCAGGTTGGTCAGACTGAATGCTTTGGATGCAGTTTTATAGTATGTAGCTTGAATAGAAAACACAGGCGACAAATAGGAAAAAAAAATAACAGAAGCAAATTAAAAAAAAAAAGTTTTGCACCTGTTAGAATATAGAGGGTAGAGATGAGGGAGTCTTGCAATGTGACAGATTGCATACGCCAAATGTGAGGGGAGCAGGGGCGGACTGACCATTTGGAAATTCGGGCACTGCTCAAAGGCCCGGGGTCAGTAGGGGGCCCCATGAGATGCCCCTGGTACCATTTTCATAGGCTTTTTTGAGTTTGGGCAAGGACACGGGGGCCCATGATCCCCTATTGCCCGGGGGGCCCCATGAGTTGTCAGTCTGCCCCTGGACGGGAGTCACTTTGGGTGGGGGGCCCATGGAACACAACTCACTCTGGAGTGGTGGGGAGACCCCGGTCTCAGCTCCCCATATCCCTCTTATGTGTAAGTCACCCTGTGCCTGTTAGGGGTACAGGGTGATCTGTCCTAATATTGTGTAGACATGTATAGGTGGGGCAGGGGTGGACTGACCATTTGGAAACTCGGGCACTGCTGAGGGCCCAGGTTGAGTAGGGGGCCCCATGAGATGCCCCTGGTACCTTTATCATAGGCTTTTTTGAGTTTGGGCAAGGACACGGGGGCCCATGATCCCCTATTGCGCGGGGGCCCCATGAGTTGTCAGTTTGCCCCTGGACGGGAGTCACTTTGGGTGGGGGGCCCATGGAACACAACTCACTCTGGAGTGGTGGGGAGACCCCTGTCTCAGCTCTCCATATCCCTCTTATATGTAAATCAACCTGTGCCTGTTAGGGGTACAGGGTGATCTGTCCTAATATTGTGTAGACATGTATAGGTGGGGCAGGGGTGGACTGACCATTTGGAAACTCGGGCACTGCCCGAGGGCCCAGGGTCAGTAGGGAGCCTCATGAGATGCCCCTGGTACCTTTTTCATAGGCTTTTTTGAGTTTGGGCAAGGACACAGGGGTCCCATGATCCCCTATTGCCCAGAGGCCCCATGAGTTGTCAGTCCGCCCTTGAGATGAGGTGGGGGTTGTGGATTGTTTGTGTGTTATGTGGTTGCATCCCATTGTTCTGTTGTGTGTCTGGCTTGGGAGCAAACTATTATGGGATGTATGTGTTTATGTGTATTGGGTTGGTGTGGGGGGGGTCTCCAGCAGCCCTCCCTCCTGATGGGACTGTCTGCTGGTGTGTCTCTTGCTACTAAATGTAGATTGCCCCACCCTGTGTCATTATGCAGGGAGGGGGGGTTGTTCCCTTGAATGTATATATCTTGTATCTGTGTTAAAATAAACTAGTCTACCTCCTGGTTTACTTCAAGATTGGTGTCGTCTAGTCTTGTATGGTCGGCTGTGGTGTCTGTTGTCGGTGTTCAGACGGGGAAGCGGGAGTCTAACGGAAGTACCCAAGCGCAGTCTGGGGTCGGTTCCGTTACACCAACCAATCACCAGAATTTGTCATGAACATTTGGGGAAGGCATTTGGGCTGCCTGAAAATGCTATATAATGCCAACGAGGATTCTAAAGGTAAAATCCTGGCTTTCGGATATGTAGTGTATGCACAGGGACATAATGGTGCAGAAACAAGCATGGCATGGTTTCCCTGTATTATGAAGTGGGGGAGGTGTTATATAGCCTTAACCCACACCTTTCCTGGTGTGACAACCCTGCTCCTCCTAGATTCAGTACAGTGGTCACCCTAGGACAGGAAGTGTGCTCCTGGCAGGACTACCAGGTGAAAAAAGAAAGAAAAAAATGCAAAAAAAGAAAACAAATTCAGCCCTCACATCTAAGGAAAGGTAAGCCACATTGCATTTATATTCTTGGGTTTAAAAATACTTGCCCCCTTGTGGGGACCTTTTTAGTACTAGTGTCACATGATGTATTTTAAAAATATTTGCAGGCAGAAAAAAATAATCCCCGTCAGAGTCCCCCCTTACATCAGGGTCCCCATCAGAGTTCCCTCTACATCAGGGTTCACTCTTATATCAAGGTCCCTATCAGAGTACCTGTTTACATCAAGGTCCCCATCAAAATCCCCCCTTACATCAGGATCCCCATCAAAGTCTCCCCCCCCCACATCAGGATCCCCATTAAAGTCTACCCTTTACATCAGAGTCCCCATTACCACAAGGTCCCCATTTGAGTCCCTCCTTACATCAGGGTCCCCATCAGAGTTCCCTCTACATCAGGGTTCACCCATGCATCAGAGTCCCCCCTTAGATCAGGGTTCAGATTCCACCATTACATTAGGGTCCCCATCAGAGATCCCCTCTACACTAGAGTTCACCCATACATCAAGGTCCTCATCAGAGTCCCTCCTTACATCAGGGTTCCCATCAAAGTTTCCCTTTACATCAGGATCCCCATCAAAGTCCCCCCCCCACATCAGGATCCCCATCAGAGTCTACCCTTTACATCAGAGTCCCCCTTAGTTCAAGGTCCTCATTTGAGTTCCTCTTTACATCAGGGTCCTCATCAAAGTTCCCCTTACATCAGGGATCCCATCAGAGTACCCTCTTACATCAGGGTCCCTGTCAGATTCCACCCTTACATCAGGGTTCACCCATACACTAGAGTCCTCCCTAACATTAGGGTCTTCATCAGAGTCCCCCTTAAATCAAGGTCCCCTCCAAAGCCCCCCTTACACCAGGGCCCTGATCAGAGTGCCCCCTTACATCAGGGTCTCTATCAGATTTCACCATTCCATCAGGGTCCCCATCAGAGGCCACCCTTACATCTGAGTCCCCCTTACATCCCCATCAGATTCCCTCCTTACTTAGGGGTCCCCGTCAAAGTCCCCACTTACACCAGGGTTCTGATAGGAGTACCCCAGAAACATCAGGGTCCCCATCAGAGTCCCCCTTATATTAGAATTAGAGACCAATGGTAGCCTTTGCCCTTAATCCTCAATCAGTGTTTACCAAGGATATACCAGTAACCAGGGTCAGACTGACCTTTCAAGCACTCGGACACTGCCCGAGGGCCCGGGGTCAGTAGGGGGCCCCATGAGATGCCCCTGGTACCTTTCATTGGCTTTTTCATGGGCTTTTTTGGGTGTGGGTGGGTGAGGACACAGGGGCCCCATGATCCCCATGAGTTGTCAGTCCGCCCCTGGACGGGAGTCTCTGTGGGTGGGGGACCCATGGAACGCAACTCACTCTGGAGAGGTGGGGAGACCCCTGTCTCAGCTCCCCATATCCCTGTTATGTGTAAATCAACCTGTGCCTGTTCAGGGTACAGGGTGATCTGTCCTAATATTGTGTAGACATGTATAGGTGGGGCAGGGGTGGACTGACCATTTGGAAACTCGGGCACTGCCCAAGGGCCCAGGGTCAGTAGGGGGCCCCATGAGATGCCCCTGGTACCTTTTTATAGGCTTTTTTGTGTTTGGGCAAGGACACAGGGGCACCATGATCCCCTATTGCCCGGGGGCCCCATGAGTTGTCAGTCCGCCCCTGGACGGGAGTCTCTTTGGGTGGGGGGGCCCATGGAACACAACTGACTCTGGAGAGGTGGGGAGACCCCTGTCTTAGCTCTCCATATCCCTCTTATGTGTAAGTCACCCTGTACCTGTTAGGGGTACAGGGTGATCTGTCCTAATATTGTGTAGACATGTATAGGTGGGGTGGGGGGTTGTGGATTGTTTGGTGTTATGTGGTTTCATCCCATTGGTACCTTTCATTGGCTTTTTCATAGGCTTTTTTGGGTGTGGGCGAGGACACAGGGACCCCATGATCTCTTATTGCCCCGGGGGGACTGACAACTCATGGGGCCCCTGTGTCCTTGCCCAAACTCAAAAAAGCCTATAAAAAAGGTACCAGGGGCATTTCATGGGGCCCCCTACTGACCCCAGTGCCCGAGTTTCCAAATGGTCAGTCCGCCCCTGGTTCTCAGTCTTCCCCTGCCAGTGACTCCAGTTGTCAGTCAGATAGATAGTTTGGGGACTCCTGCTTTAAAGAACAGACACAATACAATATATACAGACCCAGCAATGAATATTTAGCGGGTCTGCACAGCATCCATCGGCAGCTGGTTCACGCTGATCACATTCACATACACAGCTATAAAACTAAAAGGATGACAGCTTCTCTTTAACGTACATCCCCTCTCCCTTCCAATAACAATGCCATTGCACGCTGTAGACTGCAGACGAGACTGTATCATCAAAAAAAAAAAAAAAAAAAATCTTTAATCAAAAATTGTAACAAGAAAAAAAAAAAAGTCCAGCAAGCACAATTTTCCCATTAATATGAATTTTCCAGTCGACATAAAATATTGCTTTCAGAATTAAATGCTTCCTTTTTTTTTATTCTTATTTAAGCAATGAGGCTATCTCTGTATAATTTGCATTTCAGTGAAGTGCACAGAAGCCTTTTTTTTTTTTCACATTACGCTTTGCCCGATAAGGATCTTTTTGAAGGATTGTGAAGCTATATATTTGTGTGTTTAACCTGGGCCTTGCTAAATCCGCTCCGCCGTTCCAGCCACACATCAGGCAAAACTCATAAAAATTCACAGCACAATCTCCACTGCACCAAAAAAAAAATACGAGCGCCTTAGACTTGCAGGGAAAGGTAGGAAAAAAAAAAAAAAAGAAAAAGCACTTTGGAGTGAAAGCTAAGATACTCATCACTTTTAAATCTGTACCTTCCACGTCTGATCTGCTGCTGTGATAAAGAAGCCAGCTCTCTGACACTGCCGTCAAACAGAAGGAAAAAAAAAAAATTGGAGGCTATGTAACCTTGTGTGTAGGTGCGTTGTAAGCATGCAAAGGTCCGCTGACCCGTGCCTTGGTCTGCAAGGCCTGATAGGGGAATCTGCTGCATTTACACAATTTCTCAGCTTATTGGGGGGGGGGGGGGGGGTAATATTGCACAGATAAGATGAGGCTCAGAAGCATTACTGCCTGCCTTGGTTTATGTTTTATTTACAGCCTTCTGAGCAGTGACCTGTCTTTGGTAGGAGGGAGGCTGAAGATGCTTTGACGGCTCCTAATGGGAGTGCTGGCAGGGACGGACTGACCATTTGGAAACTCGGGGTCAGTAGGGGGCCCCATGAGATACCCCTGGTACCTTTTTCATAGGCTTTTTTGAGTTTGGGCAAGGACACAGGGGCCCCATGATCCTCTATTGCCGGGGGCCCCATGAGTTGTCAGTCCGCCCCTGAGTGCTGGAAATAAGCAAGGCGGGGTGACAAGGCTTGGGGGGGAGGCAAGAAGGTTTAAAGCTGACTTCCAGGCTGATAAAAATGACACAAATTGATGCAGCTCTGTAATCATTAAGGAAAAAGAAACCCTTGATAGAGTATAAAAATAGGGGTACAGTGTTGGAAGAGGAAAAAGAATTGGGGGTACTTATTTCTGATGATTGCATATAGTGTGGTCCTGAACCCCCTATATAGATCTTTTTATCACTAGAGGGATCACCAGATGAAACAGGAGATCCTGATCCCTCTATATAGATCTTTAGTTGTCACTAGAGGGGTCACCACCAGCAGGAGGAAGGAGGTCCTGATCCCTCTATATAGATCTTTAGTTGTCACTAGAGGGGTCACCATCAGCAGGAGGAAGGAGGTCCTGATCCCTCTATATAGATCTTTATATCACTAGAGGGGTCACCAGCAGGAGGAAGGAGGTCCTGATCCCTCTATATAGATCTTTATGTCACTAGAGGGGTCACCACCAGCAGGAGGAAGGAGGTCCTGATCCCTCTATATAGATCTTTAGTTGTCACTAGAGGGGTCACCACCAGCAGGAGGAAGGAGGTCCTGATCCCTCTATATAGATCTTTATATCACTAGAGGGGTCACCACCAGGAGGAAGGAGGTCCTCATTCCTCTATATAGATCTTTATATCACTAGAGGGGTCACCGGCAGGAGGAAGGAGGTCCTAATTCCTCTACATAGATCTTCATATCACTAGAGGGATCATTAGCAGGAGGAAGGAGGTCCTGAGTCCTCTATATAGATCTTTATATTACTAGAGAGGTAACCAGTAGTAGGAAAAAGATCCTGATTCCTCCATATAGATCTTTATAACACTAGAGATCTCATCAGCAGGAGGAATGAGGTCCTAATACCTTTATATAGATCTTTATATCACTAGAGGGGTCACCAGCAGGAGGAAGGAGGTCCTGATTCCTCTATATAGATCTTTATGTCACTAGAGGGGTCACCAGCAGGAGGAAGGAGGTCCTGATTCCTCTATATAGATCTTTATATCACTAGAGGGATCACCAGCTGGAGGAAGGAGGTCCTGATTCCTCTATATAGATCTTTATATCACTAGAGGGATCACCAGCAGGAGGAAGGAGGTCCTGATTCCTCTATACAGATCTTTATATCACTAGAGGGGTCACCAGCAGGAGGAAGGAGGTCCTGATTCCTCTATATAGATCTTTATATCACTAGAGGGATCACCAGCAGGAGGAAGGAGGTCCTGATTCCTCTATATAGATCTTTATATCACTAGAGGGCCACTGGCAGGAGGAAGGAGGTCCTGATTCCTCTATATAGATCTTGTATCACTAGAAGGGTCACCAGCAGGAGGAAGGAGGTCCTGATTCCTCTATATAGATCTTTATATCACTAGAGGGGTCACCGGCAGGAGGAAGGAGGTCCTGATTCCTCTAAATAGATCTTTATATCACTAGAGGGGTCACCAGCAGGAGGAAGGAGGTCCTGATTCCTCTAAATAGATCTTTACATCACTAGAGGGGTCACCAGCAGGAGGAAGGAGGTCCTGATTCCTCTAAATAGATCTTTATATCACTAGAGGAATCACAAGCAGAATGGGTTTTATACTTATGACTCCTGTGCCCCGTGTCTCCTGCCTTCCCTCCATTCCAGCACTGCAGCCTCCATCAGTTAGTTAAGCTTTTGACATTTCCTGGAGAAGGGTCGGATACCTGTGTCCCCCTGCATACGGCGGCCTATGGTTCCATCTTCAGATTCCTACATCAGCCGGGGACACAGCATGCTAGTTTCTAGGGATCTGAGAGATTGACATTTTACTAGAGCTTTTATATGCACCATTTCAGACCATAAATCAATCAATCTGCTGGCAAGGAGTGATTTTTATTTTTTAAGACATCTAAAACGACCTGAGGAAGTGGCCCTAGGGGGCAAAGCTGAGCAGGAGAGGCCAAAGGCTGCAGCCACCAATGACAAACTGGTCTACGGAGTACAATTCATCTTACATCTTGTTACAGCTTCATTTACTTAACATTGTAGAGATCAAAACGCGGCCATTTGGGCACTTGTAATGTCAGAATAAAATATGGTAAAAGCAGGATTTCCCCTTTAGCTTTCGTACATGGCCAACACATGATATCATTTCTAACCACATCTCCACGCATAAAATATCTGCACACAGAGAGGGAGAAATGAAAGATTAGCACAAGCTGTTAGGGGGCTCCATAATTCCTGGAAATACTGCAAAATACATTGTAACAGTTCCCCTGGGCTTGGGTGGATGAAACTCCGCACAATACAAAAACTATGCAACAAAAAATCAACACCATTTCCATGCCGTGGATAGAATTCCCATCTAATAGATGCCTGATGATTGCATATTATGCATTATCGGCATTGTTCGGAGGAGGCAGAGAGAAAAAAAAAATCAAGGAAGAAAAATAGAATGCCAATTTAGACTGTCACCAACACAGATGATTTTAAACCTCTCAGACAAGTATGTATAAGATTACAAATATACCATTTTTTTTTTATTTCTGAGATGTTTTTCACCCGACAATAAAATATTCTTCTTCCTAGTGATCTGATCTGCAGCATTGCCAATGTTGTTCCTTTTTTAGTGTAGGAAAGTAGTTTTTCAACCTTCTAGACCAGGGCCCTGTAAATTCTTCAAAACTCTTCCCTGCCAAAGGTATAAAAATGTTTGTAATCACCCAATAAAAGTAAAGTACAAAATATGCCTTGAAATGCTGGAAGGCTCATGATGGGTCTGGGTGGCACTGTAGGGGAGTGGGGAGGGGAAGTTGTGGAGCGGATAGGGGATTCTGCAGTAGACTTGGTAGAGCTGCAAGGCATGCCGTTTCTGAAGGGGGATGGGGGTCTCTCCAAGAGGTGGGGGCTTTGCATTGGCACTGAGGGAGGCTAGAGGGCACTGCAGGTGCTAGGAGACATTGTGGGACACTGTTCGTTGTCAAGGGGAATTATGGGTGACTGGAGGCTCTGCAGTAAGCTTGAAGGTTGGGGGTACTATGGGGGCTGAGGGTTCTTAATAGGGCTGGGGTCATTTGTGGGAGGGTAGAGCTGCAAGGCATGACGTTTCTGAAGGGGGATGGGGTCTCTCCAGGAGCTGGGGGCTTTGCATTGGCACTGAGGGAGGCTAGAGGGCACTGCAGGTTCTAGGAGGCATTGTGGGACACTGTTCGTTGTCAAGGGGAATTATGGGTGACTGGAGGCTCTGCAGTAAGCTTGAAGGTTGGGGGTACTATGGGGGCTGAGGGTTCTTAATAGGGCTGGGGTCATTGTGGGAGGGTAGAGCTGCAAGGCATGACGTTTCTGAAGGGGGATGGGGTCTCTCCAGGAGCTGGGGGCTTTGCATTGGCACTGAGGGAGGATAGAGGGCACTGCAGGTGCTAGGAGGCATTGTGGGACACTGTTCGTTGTCAAGGGGAATTATGGGTGACTGGAGGCTCTGCAGTAAGCTTGAAGGTTGGGGGGGTACTATGGGGGCTGAGGGTTCTTAATAGGACTGGGGTCATTGTGGGAGGTTGAAGGGCACTATGGGAAAATTACAGGAGGATGGCTGCATTAAGGGAGCTGAGAGGCGCTGTGGTAGTTTAGGGCAGCCATTCTCAATCAGAGTTCCGTGAAGCCCTAGTGTTCCTCAAGAGATAGCTAAGGGTTCCTTGAGCTCTGGCTTCCATTTGATGGTACAAAGAACCAGCAAACACAAATGCTCCTGAGCTTGGGGATGGACTTGATGCAGGCTACAACCGCATTAAGAATGTCCTGGAACATGCACACCTTGCTGCCCTCAATAGACCGGGGAAATCCAA